GGGGGGGGGGGGGGGCCGGAGGGCTGACCTCGGCGGGCGCAGCTTCGCAGGCGTGCTCACACCGGCCGGGGATGCGGCCGCCCGGCCGCCCGGCGCCCGGCGCTTCTCCCCCCGGCCGGATGAGGGTGTACGCGCGTCACCCCGGGTTCGGGGGCCCGCGGACGCACGCTGCGCTTCCCCTCCCCCCCGGGGGGGGGGGGGATGGGGGAGACCTGGCAGGGCGATCGGCGGCTGCCTCACGAGGACCGTGGGCCGGCTGCGCGCCCCCCCGTCCCGCCGGCTCAGGGGGCGGCAAGGGGCGCAGACCGCCGGGGACAAGAGGGCCGGCGGCCCCGCCGCGGCCAGCACCCGGCGCCGGCGTGCCCAGCCTTTTCCGGACGCGCATTACATCACCTCGCTGCAATCATGGCCCGGCCCGCCTGCGCTGCCCCTCTCGCGCGGGCGGGCCCGGCATGCGCTTGCTGCACGCCCGCCCGCCTGGGGGTGTCAAGGGCGCCCGGGCCTGGCCCCCCACCCAGCGCACGCGCGCGCACGCGCGCTCGACGCCTCTCAACACCGAAGTCCGGCTGCCGGGGGCGGCCCGCCCCGCCGCCACGGCGCTCCAGCCCGGGGCGTCGCCCCTGTTCCGACGCCGCGGGATTGGTTGGCAACTGGCGAGCGAGCGAGCGAGAGAGAGAGAGAGAGAGAGAGAGAGGGAGCGAGAGAGAAAAAAGGAACGGCCCGCGTACGCGCGCGCGCGCATGCACGCACCTACCAGCAGCGCCCACGCCCCCGAAGCCGGCCCTCGCCCCCCGAAGCCCGGACCCCGGCAGCGGCACCGCCATCGCGGCCACAAACCGTGCCAGCCCGCGAGCAGCCCCGCAGGGGAGACCCCCCCTTCAGGAGGCCCGCGCCCGCGCCCGCGCCCGCGCACACACACACAGGCCAGTGTGGCCATCGATTGCGCCCAGGGGCGCCTTAACCACACCGGCCGGCCGATGGGGGCGTCGCCTGCCGCGGCCACCCGCCCCCGGCCAACCGGCCGGCGTCCTGTCCCCCGGCCAAGCGCAGCGGGGCCCTCTCGCCCGGGGCCTGGCGCGCTCCCCGGCCCCGGCGAGCGACATCCCTCCTGAGGGCGCACCGCGCGCCCGCGGCCGGCGGATTCCTCTTCGGGCAATCGACGCCGCCGGTCCTCCCCCCCCCCCCCCCCCCCCCCCCCCCCCCCCCCCCCCCCCCCCCCCCCCCCCCCCCCCCCCCCCCCCCCCGCTCGCGCGCCGCACCCAAGCGCCGGCGGCCAGCCGGCCGCACCCGGCCCCACACACGGCCAGCGCCTCCGCGAGGGCCTTCGCGAGAGCTCCAGCCGCCAGATCGCTCCCTTGTTTGTTGTCCCTCCCCGGCCCGACCGGCCACTTTCGAGGGTTAGATCCCCGGGCCGCGGCGACCTCAATGCGCCCGCCCCGCACC